TTTTAAAAGTTGCGTAGCTCAAGTGATAAATAAGTAGGCAAAAACCTCAGCAGTTATTACTACACAGCATATTTTGACATTGGATCATGCCAAAGCAAAAATGATAGCTGCAGGAGAGAAGAGCCCCAAACAAATCAATCGTTATAGTGTCAAAGCTGACCATCAGACTTGGGAACATAGATTTGTTAGAGACCTTGAACATTTGGTGTTGATAAGAAACAACTCAATTAATGTAGTCATGCAGACTGACATCCATGTACATTTATACTTTGAAGAGTGAAGCGCTTTATAAAGGTCACACATTGAAGAATCAGTGAAGAATTGCAGGCGTATCCAAAACAGGAAGTTGTACATTACCAGTAGTAATTATTAATAACATCAAAATGTTCTGTATTTTAATTTTGCTTGTAGTGAGCATTGGATCTTGCTAAAGAAATAGAGATGCTGCTCTCTTGCCATCAGATCCGTTAGGCACGAAATAATAGTCAGAGGCTTGCAAGCTCAGAAATGGGGTGTGAGGCTGGAAGGCAGGTGTTACTAGGTACCCATGAATACCCTCTAAATGTCGGCTATAAATCTCTGTTCATTATACAATTAGCTCTGAAAACTTGTGCTTGCAGTTGTTAGCTCAATGTACAGTGTTGCTTGACATGGGCAGGATTTGCCTTACCATGTAGGAAGACAAGCAAAACTAAGTACCGTACTATCTTACCTGGTGGTTTAAAAGCTGTTATGCTGCAGTTCAAGTCCTCTTATATTTTCTAGGGTGCTCAAAGAGCTTATCTCCTCTTTTAAAGAGTCTCCTGGTAACACAGCATTACAGCAGCTGCTGAGAAACTGCCTTTTTTTTTTTTTCTTTTTTCCACTCAAATCCATACATAAACTAAGGGTCACTGAGATATATATGAGGCAGAAGCTTGCTGGACATCTTTGAATTGTGCAAAAGCCACAGCTTTCTGGTAATGTGTTCCTCTGCTGCTCAGGAAGATAATTTTCCCAGTGAGCTGTGGTTTGTCATCTCTTATATGGAGGGACACTCTGTCCTGGCTGTCCCCTAGGCTTCCTGCAGGACTGTAGCTGGCCACTTAAGATCCTGTTTACCCATCTAGAGGACAGGGCGGTTTAAAGAAAGAGTGCCTTCCTCGCACCTTGGTGGGGCAGTCAAACTCAGGGTTCATTTGACCACTGCAGGATGGGAGCTGTAGATGTGGTGGCACTCAGAGCTGACCTCCAAACCTGGTAGGTCTTGCCAGGAGGTCAAGCCATTCTCCTGAAGAGCTCAGATGTGAGTTGGTGGCTCAGAGTTTCTTCCAAACCAGGCTGAATTTACAAAGCTCAGATGTAATGGCACTGTTGATGCTTAAACAGATATGCCTTTGTGCTTGTGGAAACCGGTGATGGCTCTTCCATTCAGCCCTCAGTTAGAGGGGCTCATCTGAGTGGTAGAAATGTGATTTACATTGTAATCACTTTGTATTTTGAAAAAGCAGGTGATGGCTGGCGAGCCTGGGGTGGGAGGGACTGGAGAGACAAGGATGTGGCTGCTGCATATTGAAGGACAGCTGCCACAGTTTTCTATTACCCACTCGTGGTGGACATCCAAGCACTCGAGCAGCCAGAGGGGCAGGAGGCCTTTCTTGGCCCTCAGCACAGGGAGAACAACTTCAATTTATGTCTCCCTTTGTCCTCTGCCTTCTTACAATCAGTGCAGTAATGTAGAAATGGAGAAATACAGTCCCTGCATATCTAGGAAGCTCTGAATTGCTTGACTTAGCTATGAATTTGGGTGGTGTGTTCTTGTGTATGGAGTGCCTTCTACTGCTGCTGTGTTTTTATGGTCTTACCAGTGGGTTGTTTCATTTTGTTTCTTGAATTTCTTTATTGTTTCTGATCTTGTTTTTCCCCTCACTCAGGATCTGATTCAGGAAATAAATGAATTGCGGTTGAGAGTGGGAGAAATGGACAATGAAAGACTCCAGTATGAGAAAAAACTGAAAACAACCAAAGTAAGTGAGGCTGAGGGGAAGAAGCAGAGATGGGTGTAAGTCAGGCTTTAGAAATTCCCTCTCTTTTTGCCTGGTCCTTGCCTGCACCCTGCAAAATCCTGAGCACACTCAGGCCTGAGAGTTTCATGGTACTCACTTAGCAACAGGGGTTATTTTCAAATTTCATGCTATGGTTTTCAGATCTGGGCATTGATTTTTATGAAGGATAGCTTATCATGCAGCTGGCTGTTAACAGTAAATTTATTACTTGTTTAGACCCTTGTTTCATGTATGTGTCAAGAAGCACCAGTTGCAGTACTTAAAGTGTGTGCCACAGGTGAGACCAAAGCTGAGCATTTATTTTCTCCTAAACGTGCTAAAAGTCAGCTACTTCTGAGGAGAAAACATTCACCTAAGTAATTCTAGCAGCCTGTTTCTCTAATTGTCTAACTTCTCTTTGCTATTTAGCCTTGTCTTTTTTCTATCTTTCTCTCACTCCTCTGTCTCTGTTACCAGTCTTTAATGGCCAAACTTTCTAGTATGAAAATCAAGGTGGGTCAGATGCAGTATGAAAAGCAGCGGATGGAGCAAAAAAGCCAGATGCTAAAGGTGTAGTAGTTTTTGGGTAACATTGGGCCTGTTTTGAATCTTTCATGTTCCACTGTTTTGCGGTCTGTCTTGCATCATGCTGTCATGCGCTGTCATTAATTGCTGTGTGTTGATATGCAGTGCACCCTTTTCCATTAGACGTGGAAAGCTCTTTATGTAGATATTCCTTGTGAACAGCATTTCTATAGGATGGGACAGGATTTTAGTGTTGTGAACTTTGCATAGATTACACATAATGGAATTAGACTCGGGTTAAAATCATTCCCCATTCAAGGTAAGATTGCCTGTTTTGTAGCTTCTGTCCATTATTCAAACAGAACTTTTCCTCACCTTTTTAGAGAAAATTTATTCATGAGAACTAGCTAGAAAATAGTGATTCTTTTATACTATCCCATCTTCCACATGTAAATTTACATATCGTGTTTCTAATTCAGGGGAAGAAATACACTTCAACAACACATGCAGCTCTAGTTGCCCATGGGCAGCTTCTCAAGTGATCAAGAGATGGTCTTATTTTGGAGAAGCATGGGTCCTACACTGGCAGAAATCCCATCAGATTCAGTACTAAGTTGGAACACTGGAGGATTGTATTGCCCAGCCACAGTTCTGGAAAAATTTCTTGACAATTTTAAGATTGATCTGTTTTTTAATGATGCTTTAGAGCAAACAGGAACAAATTTCAGGAAATTCTGTAGTCTGGGCTATAGTTTGGGTTGCAGACATCGCTATATATTTGCAACAGATCTTTTGAAGCTCAGGAATATACCTAAGCCACAGTAATCTAGTTTGGTTTATTCCTTTAAGGATTTAAAACTTCAGTTAGAAGCTTTGAATGCCAGAATTATGCGTCTTGCCTTGTTTTGTTTTGTTTACAAACTGAACAAATTAAATCTTCAGTGGTGGGTACGTTTGCACTGAGGGTCCTGTCTTGATGATGCTGTTGCACAAGGTATCCTCAGACATCAAAGAAACATGTTACTAAACTGGGTAGGATTTGACTCAAATTTTTAAAAGTTAAATGCATGGATCTGTGCCAGTCACTTGCTAGTGCAGATGGTTAGATCTAAGCTAAAATTTGACAGCATTTATCTAATACACCCCAACTCCCCCAAACACCATCTGTCTTATTCCCATGAATCTCAGCTCTAAGCTGCCTTTCCTAATGCTTGATCAGCAAACCCAAACTGTGGCAGAGATACCACATTTTCATCTGAACTGCTTTCCAGTATGTGTTTATGTGCTTGATGGTGTTGTGATTGATTTTTTCTTTCATAGAAGCCATGGTTATTTCTGAAACTGTCCTCAGCTTGGTGTAAGCACAGTTTCATAATTGTCCAGCTTTGAACATGCAAAATGCCCTATAAAATCCAAAATAAGTGTTCATAAATTTTAGCATTTAGCCTCATCACCTCCATTTTTTCTGTCTCTGCAAGGTTAAATAAATAAGAAAACGGCTTTTTTTTTTTTCTTTATTCTTTCTTTTTTAAATTTAGATGTAAAACCTCTTTTCAGTTATACATGAGACTGACCCGTTTGGACCCTATGTCCCCTGGTTTTACCCCTTTACGGACTCAGCAGTCTGTTGTGATGTTCAGAGTCAGTTTGGTGGGTGTACTTTCAGCCAGTGTAAATGTCAGGGAGCCCTTGGTCATTTCTGCTGGCTGAGGACCTTATCCACTGTGCTTCACGGGGGAATTTTGGAAACATCTCAGATGTGTGTGAAAGCTGTCACTGAGTGAACCTGTGTCTGTTACAGGATGAACTGGCAGCTTTGAAAGACAAACTAGAGCAGAAGGAAGTGGAGGTAAAAAGGTTGCAAGAAAAATTGGTTTGCAAGCTGAAAGGAGAAGGAATCGAAATACTGGACAGAGGTAAGAAGAATGGAAGCTCTCTCACCATGTCCTCCTTGGTCACCTCATCTAAGGTCATGTTTCCATGGATGGTTGTACAGGAAATAAGATATAAAAGCCTTAATTTTAATATACTATCTATCTTCGTGTTTACTTCTTTTAAAGTATTTAGTGGGTATTC